CACACTTTACTTATGGTGCCTACTGTTCGCCTGACTCAATTATCTCTATCTTCAATCTATCTGCATATCTATCTCTCTGTTTGCCGGGCTTATATACTAAAAAAGAGGGCGTCCCGAACAAACTAGGAAATTCATGATCATTCGAGAAACTCCTCGCACACGCCACCAGCGCCAATGCGCCAGCAACGTCACGTGATTTCCGATGTCGTAACACTGCCCCTTCCTTAGTATTGTTCATCCCAAACAATAGTCACTTACATTAAACCAATAGATAATTAACAATAACTTAATTAAATGTACAGAATGTACAAACGCAAAATTAAAATACAACAAAGTCTCTTAATTTTACAGGATATTTCTTCTTTCTTACTGGTCTTCATCTTATTGGCTTCTGGATCACGTGGGGTTCATTTGCTCCATCAGGAAATGTCCCATTATCGGTAGCAGTCACATCAGTGGTAGTAACTTCATTAATGGCTTCACTGTTTTCCTTCTCAAAACCAGGTAGTTTCTTCTTCAACAGCGGCTTTTTCAGGTGACACATCTTCAGCAGCAATGGTCCAGGACATTTCAGTTGAAATGAAGTGAACAATGGAACAAATGAAAAATGTGGTCGGCGAGGTAAGCCAAAGGTGGTGCATGCCAACAGGCTTTGGCATTATCAATTTGGAAAGTCACGTCTGAGAGACGATCCACAATGTCATATGGGCCTTCCCATGGAGATGACAACTTAGAAGACTTCCTATTGGTCTTCCTGGGATTATACAACCAAACCTTGTCTCCTGGTACAAAGCTGACTTCAGTAGATCTCTTATCATAACATAGCTTCATGGAATCAGTATACGTTTTCAAGTTAGAATGCACTTGATGGTGAATATTATCCATCCTTTCAGATAACACTTTTACGAACTCTGGCACATTTTCAGGCAACTCTTTGTAAGGTGGGCGTCCAGTTATCAGGTCTACTGGCAACTGAAGTTCCCGACCAAACATCAGCTTTGCTGGAGTGTATCCAGTGTCTTCATGCTCTGCTGTTCTATAGGCCATCAACAGTGGAGGGAGTAAGACATCCCAGTCATCTTGGTGGCTGTTACAAAACTTTGCCAATTCCTGTCCCAGTATCCAGTTGTACTTTTCTACCATCCCATTAGATTGTGGGTGAAGTGGCATTGTCCTGGTCTTTCGTATGCCAAACAACTTGCAGCATTCATGGAACGTAGCTGATTCAAAGTTACGCCCTTGATCCAAATGCAGTTCGTATGACATACCAAACCTGAAGAAGAAATCACTAATAGCCGAAGCTACAGTTGTAGCTTCCTGATTTGGTATTGCATATGCCTCAGGCCACTTGGTGAAATAATCCATCACCACACAAATGTACTTGTTTCTAGCACGAGTTTGGGGCAGAGGACCAGCAATATCGATGGCTACTCTTTCCATTGGTGCACCAACTTGATATAACTTCATTGGAGCACGTCCCTTATGCTTGGGTCCCCTTTTAGCACAACATGTACTGCATGTTCTGCACCATTCTTCCACATCTTGCCTCATACTTATCCAGTAAAATCTCTGCCGAAGGTGAGTCAATGTCTTCTTAACTCCAAAATGTCCTCCTGTTAAACTATCATGGGATTGACACAACACAACTTCTCGTAACTTTCTCGGTATAACTGTTTGCTAGGTCGTCACTATCCCATCTGCAGTTCCCATCTCCGGAGAATAATACCATCTTTAAGTTTCAACTGGTCCCATTGTGCCCAATA